CACAACCCAACCACGCAGTGGCCGCCCAAAACTTTTAAATTTTGAGCATAAGCAAGTATTAAAACGGGTTGTTAAGCAAAACAACTCAAAAAACTGGTTAATGAAAGGACTGGATTTGATGTTTCTGCTAAATTATTAGGAGAAATTTACACGAAATTAATTTTTTTTCTCGCATTCCGACATCCAAGCCTTTACTTACTGATCAGCAAAGAGAAAATCGCCTAAACTGGTGTATTGAAAGAAAGGATTGGTCTATTCGAAAATGGAAGTCTGTTATTTGGAGTGATGAAAGTCGCTTTACAAATGATGGTCCAGGTCGTGTTTGGATATGGAGAGCCCCTGGAACAAGATTTAATATAAAAAATATGGCTCCTTCAGTTAAATACGGGGATGGCACTCTCCGTGCCACAATTTGAAAAGAAAAAAATACTGGGTCTGTCTCTTCTTCGCCGACGTTTGATGATGTGGGGTTGTTTTTCTGGTAAAGGCTTAGGCCCATTGGTAAAAGTGGAAGGAAAAATAAACAGATTCGATTATATTCAAATACTTAAACCCCATTTATTACCATTGATTAGAAGAGATTTTGGTGAAAAAGGGTATTTGTTTCAAGATGACAATGCCTCCATTCACACTGAGAAAGATGTTAATGAATGGCTTGCAGAAAGGAAGATCAGAACTTTACCTAATTGGCCAAGCCAATCACCAGATTTGAACCCTATTGAACGTTTATGGTCAGAACGCATTAGAAACCGTTCGACCTTGCCTAAAAATGTAAGGGAACTTGAGACAGCATTACAGGAGGAATGGAACCAAATTTCCAACAATGTTTTAATGAATTTAATTAAAAGTATGCCTAGAAGGGTCGAAGCGTGTATTGCAAGCAAGGGCTGGCCAACAAAGTATTAAATTTATATATAGATTCATAACAAGTTAGACTATACCATATAAAAATTTTAGTCCCAATTATTATGTACACTTTTGAACAATTAATAAAGTTAGGGTGGCCGATACTTTTGTCCAGGTAGTGTATTTATCTGTGTCAACACATGGATAATCTACAGTCGACCAAGGACAAACTGGCGGCTTCTAGTTCAAGGCGTAAGAAGAAGCAGGCCTTGCGAATCGATACGGCAATCTTTCGGATGCGACGAAGATCAAACGCCTACAAAGCGAAGTACACAAAAAGAGCGTCGTATTTTTCACTCGCGATTTGATGCCATCATCATTCCTCCTTTTGAGGTATCAAATATGGTAAACCGAAAACACGAAAGATATCACACAAAGCCGTTCGTAAAATGCTCTGTTAGGGCCACTATCAATTTCGCCAACGTCTTGTGGCTAAGGCAGAAGAACTAGAGGTCCGCGTTATTATTCAAAATGAGGCCTACACTTCGAAAACTTGCAGCTTGTGTGGGAATATTCAAAAAATAGGAGGGTCCGAGATGTACAAATGCTCGGGGAATCTTTTTCCGGGCATTGCTTGATGGAGCCTTGATTCTCTCCGGAAATAGTATGCCTACTACTATTGATGTGTTACATCCACTGCAATAGAATACTGATAGTCACGTGAAAATACTAATTCCAACAATTAATAATGGTTTTCCTTTAATAGCATATCAAATATTGTGACACCGCCACAATTAATCACATAATGAGGGGGATTGCAAAACGGTATAATCTTTGTCTCAAACATTCACCAACCTCTTAAATAACCTTCCTTTGTTAGGATTGTTCAAAAACAAATCTGCCTTTCTCTTCACCCCCTCATCTCCGCTTACACTAAATTTCTCCTTATTCCAGCACTTTCACTAATCACGTTCGAACAGTATACCAAATACCCCATAGAATAATATGCCGCCTGCAACAACTGGACAACAAAAATACTCAGGACATGTCGGTTCACTCAGTCCACAGCAGGCTGCAACCCTTGAAAAATTTCGTCAGGAACTCTCAGACGAAGGTTTCTACGACGAAGAGCGCCACGACGATGCTTGTCTTCTTCGTTTCCTTCGCGCTCGTAGATTTGAATTGTCAAAAGCAAAAAAGATGTTTATTGATTGCGAAAAATGGCGGAAAGAGTTTGGTGTCGAGAACCTCGTCAAAACTTTCGACTATACCGAACATAACGAAGTGATGAAGTATTATCCCCGCTATTATCATAAAACAGACAAAGAAGGACGACCTATATACATTGAAGAAATTGGAAATATTGACATTAAAGCCCTCTACAAGATCACTACTCCAGAGCGTCAGATCCAGAACCTTGTCGTTGAATATGAAAAATTAGCTACTTATCGTCTTCCTGCTTGTTCTGCTAAACACGGCAAAATGATCGAAACATCTTGCACCATACTTGATCTCAAGGGTGTTTCCCTTCGCTCGTTTTCCAATGTCTATAGCTACGTGAAGCAAGCCTCTACGATTGGACAGTACTACTACCCGGAACGTATGGGTAAATTCTTTATCATCAATGCACCGATGCTCTTTTCTTCAGTCTGGTCGTTGGTGAAACCTATGCTGGACGAGGTCACCGCTGCCAAGATTGTAATATTGGGCTCGAAATATGAGAAGGTTTTGCTTGAATACATTGATGCGGATAGTCTACCCACTAAATTTGGTGGACGTTGCAATTGTGTGAATGGATGCCACATGAGTGATGCCGGACCATGGAACGAGGGAAACGTCGTAGTAGGAAAGGAAATTGAAATGATCACTAATGGGATGACAGTTGAAAAAGTTGTTGCACAAGCTTAGAGTCGAATACAAGTGGAGATGAGGATATAACAGAATAAATACAAACATTTATTTCTTTCTTTTCTTTTGAATATTCTAATCGATTTTCTATTGAACATTTGAAATTTATTCGGAACATCCGCGACATTAGATTTTGTCTATCCAAAACATTTTGGCCTTTCGTTCGATTATTTTATTACCAAGTTATAGATGCTTTACAAAATTATTATGTATATATTTGCAGAATAGTTATCTGCTTTTTCTTTGAAAGGAACGAGATCATGTTCGGTAGAGAGTCACTCCCATAGACAAATAATAAGATAAATACGACCATCATCTCCTCTCAACCACGGCGCTCGCTACTAATTAACGGTGAAAAGGTTGGGTTTTTTATGTGTGTATTAAATAGACTTGAGATTTCGATTAGAGACTATGCGCACAAATAATGTAGTCCACATTATTCGTACGAAAAATATTTGTGACTATCGAACTACTTCAACTTTTTGATAATGAACGATAGAAGGCATTATACGAGTTCTCCATGTCAAATTGTAATTGCCGTACTTGCTCCTCGTTGATCTCATCAATCGCCTTCATCGAATTTAAAGTTATCAGCCATTGCCTTACTTTTGCCTTCCCTTCGAAATCCGCGGGAAGAGAGCTTACATTGTTGAGGCTTTGCATTAAATCACTTAGAACCGGATGTATCTGATCCACCGCCTTCATCTCCAGTTTGAGAGTATCCATTAACGTAATAAAATGCTAAAAATAGAAATGCATGGTTGGGAAGATACATATAGTTGAGAGAATAAGTTTAAGATATCCAATGACAGCTGACGGCTAATTTTACGACTGCATATCCCACCGTCACAGTTTCAGCCACATATTTTGCCGAGGCACCAGATCCATGTCCAGCGCCAGTCGAATGTTCTATAGTAGCCGGAACCCCTATCTTAAACCTATTGGCTGCTGCAGGACATCCGAGCTAGACAGAAGAACAAAACATATCAGTATCACGTTGTCAGGAAAGAAAGCCCTCCCCGTTACAATACCTGCTTTGCTCTTACCTTGTACTCTTTCATAAATTTCTCAATATCAGGTACATGATCGCTTACCAAATTCAAGGCTGTTTTGTACTGTGCGATCAATTTCGAACAAGCAGGAGTATAACTAGTCATTCTTTATCATTAGGAAAATGAAAATTAACGGAAACTAATAATTCGAATGTTTATTAGTCCTCTTACTCTGTATGCTTAATAGAGTCCTTGATGTAGGCTTTTTCGAGATGTTCCATTGTAACAATGATCGCATACAAGTCGGCGAGGTTCTCGTATTTTTCTCGATCTATGGTATTCGTGTATAATCTGACTTCCTACACAAATGTCGATATCCCTGTTAATCAGAAACACTCTATACACTGAAAAAAAAAGAGCAAACGATGGTACACAGTTAATTATCATGCTACGATACCTCGTCTAATGTGGGGACTTTTGAGTGCAATTATCCCGAGGGGAGAAACCGTATAAGCAGAACTCTTAAGTAAAAAACACGTAAGTAATTCGCGGAAACCCAGCTTGTAAAACTTACAATGTTTAGAACTATTGGCGGGCGAATCATTTCGCGTAGAAGGGTAAGCAGCCATACGATCGAGATTTGCCGGTTTGGTTTTTGCATGCTCAGAGTATGATGAATAATATAGTTGGATAAATTCCTGTGTCATGTGATATGCATATTGTATAACATCCAATTTTAAAAGAACAATTGCAGACGAAACGTAATCAGTAGACGCACACCTCTTATTTCATTTTTCTTTAGAAGCATGGACGATCACGACGAATTACTTGCGAGATTTCGGAACGTTGTTCCCATAGATGAGAGCAAAGCTCTTTTCTACCTCGAAGCCAATAATTGGGATCTCCAAGTACCTATCTACAATGTTGTAATACACGTCTTAATGTGAAGCCATTGGCATTCTAAAGCTCGCGTCTCTCCATATACTTAGACTGCGCTGAGTAACTTTTATGAAGAAGGAGCGGGCGAGCAAGACTTGGAAGAGGAAATGTTTGAAAGTGAACCGTCAATTATGCCGGGGAATTTCCCGTCCTCTTCTGCAGTTGCGTCTTCTTCCTCTGCAGTAGCGGCTTCTTCTTCGTCTTCGGGACAAAAGATTGGGAAAGGGTAAAGCTTCAAAATGATTACAAGTCTCAAATATTAGTCGGATGAAATAAATTGAGATGCTAAGTGCTTTAGGTCGTGTTAATAGCACAAGCACAGAACGGCGTGTGGCTACACTGCGTGACTTTACTGGCCATTCAGCTGAGGAAGAGGCTGAAGACGACGAGGAGCACGAGAACTTATTTGCTGGTGGCGAGAAGTCGTATGTTGAACCGTGTCGACTGCTGCAATATAAGTGATTATCGTTTATCTAACTTTGCTTTTATTCACACTGATCAGTGGTATATTCACGCAAAATCCAAGTGTAAAGGCAAGTTCATTGGTCGGAGACATTCTCCGGAAGGCTGCGGAGTAAGTAAACGTATTGAATACACTTAAACATAGGTATATGCTAGTTTGTTTTGTATGTGTCAGTATATTACATATCACTTTTACTATTGCGCTCCCATTATATCCTTGTCGCATATGCAACGTGTTCAAGAGGTGGGCGCGCCGCTGCTGAAGATGATGTTGCTAAACCAACAAAGCCAAGTTATTTTGGTGGAACCGGTAAGTATGGATTAGTATTATCATGGTATTCATATTAGCATAGAATGTTCGTTCATACGTCTTCCACAATCTACAAACAGGATACCGACTTGGAAGCGAAGATGAACCATCTGTTGTAATTCCGAGTAGCGCAGGCTCGGGTTCGCATGAACCCGAAGAACTTCAACCTGTAGGTTCATTAACTGTCTGATTACAGATATCTAGACAAGAGCTCAGTTGGTATGAATAATAGGTTGTGCGGCATCTGACTTTTTGGAGAAACGGATTCAGTATTGAAGACGGACCACTAATGGCTTACGATGATCCGGCAAATAAAGAGTTTTTACAAGCAATTAATAGCGGGTAAGACGCTCGTGTCTGTTCCTATCGTAGTATGTATTTGTCAACTACTTGACTATTAATACTACATGTCCTGTTCGACATTTTATAGTCGGGCGCCTTTACAACTCCTAAATGTCAAAACAGGACAGCCAGTAGACATGCGAGTGGCGCGACGACTAGATGAGGATTATAAGCCTCCACCCAAGAAACCATCCGCGCCTTTTTCAGGAAGTGGTCAACGGTTAGGAAGGTCAATATTGCAACTAACATATGCGTCTATGTAGAGTCTTTATTCTAGCACAGCTCACTCGCTTCATTATTTATAGTCTTGTGACCGCTGTGGCTACCAGTAGTTCTGCTTCATCATCTGCTTCATCCGCGTCCCCGACACAGCGACCAACCGAGTTTCAGGTCGACGAATCGTTACCAACAACATCTATTCAGGTTAGACTTGGAGACGGAACCAGGTAAGAAAATTGAAAGCATGTTTTCCTTTACGCATTTTCGAAATGTATTTAACTCTTGTTTTAACATCGTAGGATGGTCGCCAGATTTAATCATACGCATACTATTGGCGATATCCGAAATTTTATTAATGCGTATGATTGTTGTGCCTTGCACATTAATTTTATTATACTTGATTTATTAAACTTTAAGTTTTTTCGTCATTAACATCATATTTCTCGTTTCTCAACAGGTCTCGAGCGGGTGAAGCAAGCCGTGATTACACTCTTCAAACAACATTCCCCACAAAAGAGCTTACAGATGAATCGCAGACTTTGACTGATGCATCGCTTCTTAACTCTGTCGTTGTTCAGCGATATATTTAGATGTCAGGCGTTGTCTTTTGTTTATCCGTCTTGAACTATATGCAAAGTCTTTGCAGAGCGAGTCTTGTGTATGATACGTTTAGCCGATTACGAATAACTAATGATCCTCACAAATGGCAGACTAATATCTGATATTCCTAATAAAAAACAAAATATACTCGCATTTATACAAGTTGAAACTATTCAATGCATGAGAATGATCCCATGGTATGTTGCGCAATGGATAAAGCTTTGTGAACTTGCTGAACTTCATATCAGTTTCAATTTCCACTGTGCAATTCTAAATTGGATTTTTTGTGGAACGAGATAGTGAAATAACCTCAGAAATATTTGCAGGTGACCGCTTTTGTTCCACATGCATATACACTACTGTACACATACAAATACATGTTAATATACGTATACAACGTACCAGGGCTCACGAATGTCGGGAAAGTTGGAAGTATCGCTTGTTTCGCAATTGAAGTCTTCAGAACATGTCATACGTCACAATAAGGTGTCCCCGTTTCGACGTTTCTCCCCTTATAAATCACTGCTACCCAAGCATCCCCCCTCGAATGCTGATCAGTGTGAAAATGAGATAGGCCTCGGCTTTACTGTAGATCGCAGGAAACTCAATGGCGAAACCTTAGCGAACGTACCACGTTATCAACGGCAAATAAAAGACATACTTGGTCCTCAAGAGCGTCGCTTGGACACCGAAACTGACTCAGACGAAACGAACCAATTAAAGCAAGCCGAGTAAGTATATAAGTATAGAATGCTATTTAATTCAAGTTTGTCTAACAGTGCATTTGTTTTAACTGTCTACCCATTTGCCAGCTCATCAGAGATAATAATTCTGACCCGGTACTGCTTCAACTGCAAGTCGAAATCACACAGTTTTAAATCCTGCCCCGAACCTCATTCTCCAACACGTATCAATCAGAACCGAACAGAATTTGATTTAAAGAATCCTATGCCTCAACCTTTTCATAGTCGATTTCATATAGAAATAAAACGGGAGAATATGATAGATCAATTAGTTCCTGGAAAACTATCGGATGAATTAAAGGAGGCGTTGGGAATGAAGGGTTCTGTGAATGAAGACATACCACCATGGTATACCTCGATGCGAATGTTTGGATATCCACCTGGGTATTGGTGTTATGAGGGTGAAGGTATGAACGAATGAATGAAATAAAGGCTGGATGGCAGTGGACGCGTAACCACAATAAATTTACAGTTTGTTTACATATTTAGATCCATTGAAGGAAGCGAAAGTTAGAAGACGCAGACTATACTATGAAGATGGAGAGAATGTTAAACTACAAGTGTACGGGGTAAACGAACGTAATGGAACGTCTCGGGAGGAAAAATGCGATAATATAGGAAATAAAAATGTACATAATTTATTGAACGCTACCAGAGGTAATGTGGGTGAAAAGCACGAGAAACATGAGGACGAACAAGCTCTTGAGGACGGTGAAATATTAGAGGACGATTTTGATGTTAACCCAGTCGAACATAAGGGTAATAGTAATACGATAGACAGCAAGGATAGCATGTCCCCCAGCAAAAAGCGTGTTCGCCTGGTGGAATATCCAGGCTTAGACTGGGACGACACGACTACAGTCCTGGAAACCCATAATCCTTATTGGACATTTTTTTAATAAAAGGTTTTCTTGTTACAACATACTAACATGTTTTCTGAAATTAATGAGCAGTATCATGTCATAAATCATATGACGAAGAAGTACAGTCAAAGCTCGGAAAACCGATAAATGCTAAAACCGATACTTTTCCCAATTCCCAAAACACGTATAACAAAATTCGCTCGGAAAACCGATATTTCATATAACGTCGCGCAATTCCGATATTATTTTGTCACATTCATATAATAATAATAATAAAAATTTAAGCTCGATAAACCGATATTAATATAACCAATAGCAAAGCTTTATCTGCTACACAATATCTGGTATTATTTAATTAGCAGACACAATTCTTTGCATGATGTTCCTATCAATATTTATGATACGTTATTGTGACGAAGCTTGGAATGCGTTGCTGAAACAACTATTCACAATTGTTTGAGGAAAACTGGTAGATTCGCCTCTTGTTCCCCATAGTGTTAATATCAGTACTGAAGACATACAGCATTGTCTTACTCAACTAGAATGGATGAGCCTGTTGTTGGCTACTGTATTGATAAGTAATTACCTATTGAACGTTTTACCGATAATGATATTATTGCAACCCGTACAGAACGCCGAAGAAGATGAAGACGGCAAAGAAAAAAGTGACAAGGAATATGAACTACAGCTTTAGCGGGTGTGGACAACCTAATGCCATTCGTCAATGATCCGCCCAGTGGCTTCCACTAATCAAATGTAATAATCTCTCAAAACCGACACTACGTCTCTACATCGGTTTTCCGAGCTTTGACTGTAATCGGTTTCAGATAAGATAGCTTTAGAAAGTATCCAGCTTAGTAATTACATTATTTGCAGCAATCGAATGATACGCATGTTGTATTGTCGAGAATGAAAGATTTGCAACGTTAGTTAAGAAAATAAAAAAGCAAGTGATTCTTGAAGAAATGTACAGTATAAACTAATACTTTTATCACGTGAGTCTCGATAAACCGATCGTCTCGATATTTCCCATTTTAATTTGCCCAATATGGTAGTTTTTTTTATGATAATTAAAATATTTCATTTTTTTTTGCTAAAACAGTAGCGACATCAATGTTTGCCTACACTATCCAGGTTGCAAGATCTGGAGTCCGTGCGGTAAGCATTGTAGCATTTTCAACTCGCTCAAGTAGGAACTCTATACATACTAACCCCTTCTCCTTTAGACTCTCCCACTCTTGCATCGTCGTTATGCAACTGCACAAAGCGTTTCTAGCCTTCTTCTTGTTGAGCACAAGGATAATAACATAGCTTCTTCTACATTCAACACTCTTACAGCAGCAAGTAAACTAGGCGGCAGCATTACTGCACTAGTGGCAGGCGAAAATCCTGAACAAGTGGCCACAACAATCGCAAAGTTTCCTGGTGTCTCGAAAGTTCTGACTGCAAAGGATAAGGCATACGAGCATGGGATATCGGAAGTGTATGCTCCACTTGTAGTTGCGGCTCAGAAAACACACAACTTTACACACTTGCTGGCCTCAAATAGTGCATTTGGAAAAAATATTTTACCCAGAGTTGCGGCATTACTGGATGTTGCGCAAATATCAGACATTATTGGCATCGAAGGAACCGATACATTTATTAGGCCAATATACGCAGGTAATGTTAATTGCGCACCAATTCAATGGTCGTTTCGAATTCTGGCTGATCCTATCAACTCGATTATGTATATAGGCAATGCAATTGCAAAAGTGAAGTCTAATGATTCTGTAAAAGTGGTCACTGTTCGTAGCACTGCTTTTCCTGCTGCCAAAGAAGGCGACAATAGTGCACCCACTGAGCCCGCTCCAGAGTCTGAGAAATCATCTTTAACTGAATGGGTCGGGGAAGAATTGCAAAAGAGTGATAGACCAGAATTGGGATCAGCGTCGAGAGTCGTATCTGGTGGGAGAGCGCTAAAGAGCCGAGAAAATTTTGATAAACTTATGTTTAGCCTAGCCGATGCCCTCGGAGCAGCCGGTAAGAGAGAAGCAGTGTACAGTCTGTAGAAAGTCACATGTTGGGACGTTGAGAAGGGCAAAATGTTGTAACGAAAGAGTGAAATATTAAGACAAAACTTTTATGCTTAGTTGGCGCATCAAGAGCCGCCGTAGATTCAGGATACTGTGATAATGCTTTACAGGTAAGGAAATGACAATTTGGTTGACGCCAAATTGGTATTAATACATGCATGCTTTTCTGTAGGTTGGACAAACGGGTAAAGTTGTTGCTCCAGGTGATTAAGGATGTTTACTACTCGCTTCTGCACCACAGTTACAATCAATTGCTGACTTATTATTTTGTCTAATAGATCTTTACCTGGCAGTGGGCATTAGTGGTGCAATACAACACATTGCTGGTATGAAAGACAGCAAAGTAATAGCAGCAATTAATAATGATGCCGAGGCTCCAATATTACAGGTCAAGTATCTATTAATAGACATTGTTTTATAATTTTTACTTAGCACTAAGAATTTTTTTCGTTCCAACAGATTGCTGATTTTGGTCTTATTGCTGATCTGTTTACTGCTGTTCCAGAACTAACGGAAAAGTTGAAAAAGTGACCGAACACATTGAGTTCAATGACAAGGAGATTGTTAGAAGTAGAAAGAATAATTAGACAACTGGCAAAGCTTAATAATAAACACTGTTTACGTTACCTAAAAGTTGCACATTTGTTAGACATTTTCATATAATATCTCAAAAACATTGATACATGCTTTCAACCTAGAATGACAATATACACAAGACTGGGATTTCATCAACGCGCCTTTAATAAATGCTTGTTTGAGAAACAGAATACTGCTTATGTGAGCTCAGAAATAATCGTCCTGTGAACATGAAAAAGACAAATTGACTGTTAAATTTTGTTAGAAGCTACAGATAGTTATACCATTTTGAATTTACACATACTGCTATGGAGGATCTGTTGAATAGGGAATATTCAAGACCACCATAATGCTCAAAAAGACCCTGAATGTACTTTATTAAACACACACTGATAAATTTACACGTTGTCTAGATATTGATATATCTAATGTTATTACTAATTCGCATTGAATACAACAAAATTATGCAGTACAGATGAGGCTTGACATGAGGATTGAAATTAAAAAATTACAAATCGATAGTTATGGAACATGTTTCGCACAATTGACATTTCCAAAGTATGCATATCGGTTTAAATAATCATTGTTAGCTTGTTCTCATGTTCCTTATTTTAAGACGAATTGTTGTTTATGTCTATAAAGTAAGCATTTCTCCTCATGTTTCGCCTACAACCACTGAATAACGATATCATGGCCCAAGCTGTCGACGTTTGGACGAACTTGCTTTACAATCGTCCTCATCTATTGCGCTGGCTGTTCTCTTCGACAAAGAACATTTTGGATTAGTCATTATGTTATACTTTGCATCCAACTGCCTATACTTCATTCGCAAATCTTCGACATTAGGAGGCAACCTTATACCAATTATTACACTCTCAAATAATAATGGATTGAGATATATGCTATCTGAGGGGATAAAATAGAACATCTGAATTAACATACAGGTATAACTAGGTTGACACCAGGGCTCATCTAGGTTTGTAGAATACCTGAAGACATCTTAAATAGATCCCGCACGATATCTTTTATTTTGTTGGCATTCGGATTTTCAAATATTTTTTTGAATATGTACATTAATTGCCTCTCCGATTCCTTTAGAATAGTTTGCATAAAACTGTCTACCATTACGTGTCGCAGATTGTCATTAAGTACGCCATTTATATATGTATTATCCTATATCCATTCAGAGAATGAGAAGGTAAAGATAATTTAGTAATCATTAATACATTTGACTTGCAATTTTTTCTTCCAACCAAACTCACCAAGTATGCAAATATGCTGCCAAGAACGTCAATTGCTCTTAAGTGATTCGACAAGATTGCGGCAAATTTCATAATAAAGTCGTCTAGATCCTGACAAGATTGCAGCTGGCCATTTAGAAATTCAAGGGTTTCTCTTATGACATTCTTCAGATCTTCAAAGAGTCTTCCTTGCAATCCCCTCCAACAAGTCCAGTAGATGCTTCTATCATAATACAAGTGTTCATTGAAATTGAGTGTAAAATAGAACACAAATCTTACACACATATACCTATATAGCTCCTCATGTGAATAGAGGCACAACGGGTGTGTGTCTTGCAAATCGGAACGCAGAGCCAACTGCACGAAAAATGATAATCTTTCCCAGAACGCGGCGTAGTCAGCGATCGCGACTGTAAGAAATGAATATTGTCAGCGAGAAAATCGTTTACGACTGTCTGAAAGTGAGCAACAGACAGCTCACCAGTATTGTGTTCAGCAGAAGGTTTTGTCTCACTATCACCCATAGCAACGTCCATTGTGGCGTAATGCTTGAGAGTCAATTAAGAGTTGAGCAGGAACGAAAAGCATGGAGAGAGAGAGGTTGTTCTCTGAATTGGAACATCATGTGAGCGTAGAGGGATTGGCTTATCGGAAACTTAAATTTTCTTCCGAGCAAATTGGCTAATAAACGGTAACGACATTTTCGCAATAGGAACCCCATAGGAAAGAAGAATAAGCTGTTATGAAACCAATGTCATATCAACGTGCTAGAGCTTGCGAGATGTATTGATGTAGTATGATTCCGACCACAGTATAGAGTGTCATACAATAATAACTATTTTTTTTGGATATGATATTTTCAACTAGCAGCATACTCAAGAGTCTTGTACTGGGTTTATTTAGTCAATGCCATTTGCTAGAGTTATCACCTTTTTTTTATAAAGCGCGTGAAAAATGCTTATATTAAATGAATTGCATCGTTCGATGATAGAACATTTTTCCCTTTCAACAAGTAAATTCAGTTTTCAAATGTCAAATGCAAATAGCGAAGAGAAAATAAACAACCAGATTTAGTACATGTGTTTTCTTGTAATTGGCAAATTTTTAATTTTCCCTGTAGACATTAACAAGCCTTAGTGTTGCGTGCATCAATGCGGTTTATTGAATGTTCAAAGACAAATTGAGATGATTATAAGATTCAGGCTAACACTGTTGGTAATAAATTCATTGCTATGTTTTCCAAATGAGTGAGACTAATTTCTGATTGCATTTTGCTGTTAACGTTAAATGGGTAACACTTATGTACATTGTTTTATTTTGCCTCTGGTCGATCAAAAAAAGTTTTTATGTGCGTATGAAACGTGTTATAATTTTCTCTGTCATTAACGGAAGAAGAGTACAAACAATTAGTCTTGTAAACGTATAACGAATAGTAGTAAAAAACCCTGACAACACTTTGCCCTACAAACATGCCTTTACGTTGCTATGCATATCGTAAACAATTCCCAGTAGCTCAGGATAGTCGTCTTTGTACTGAACAGTAAAGTTGGATATGCATGTTGTCAAGTTGCAAGAAAAAAAGTGCGCGTGCGTGTTTACATTCTGGAACAATTGGAATGCATCAATCAGATTGTCCGATTCTTGCCTCCGGTAGACGTTTCATACGTTATGCACAGTATTTGTTTGGGTTTTCTGTAACTTGCAAGTTTTTTTTTTAATTAATAAACCCCAAGAACAAGTAACTCACAAGAACAAGGAAAATTAACGGATCCAAAGCCATCCCATATTTTTTGTCGTCTAGTGAATCTATGACAATATCATTAGTAATATTATTAATCATTATGAGTATTGGCTTCCTTTTTAGAGCAAGGGGATAATGCCACGTATTTTATGTTGATAAGTATTTTGCATAATGAGCGCGGCTGATACTTTCGACGCTTGAAGTTAATAGAGCAAGGTACCGACAATCGTCAGAGTAATTCGCAGAAAGTTGCAATAATAAAAGTGAATATGTTGAATGTTATTATTATTTGACCGCAAACATGAAACAAAAACCATATTTTGTTCAAACAATGGTTTTTATAGCACTTGTGACATTCCCACTGCCACAGAACGATGAATTGTTATTGGATAATTGTGGGGTTCAGCAGTTGATCCATTATGGTATGCTTTGGTTCAGCGCCTGCTACTTGTCTCGACATATATTAGATATTCGCCCGAAAAGTGCATAAAATATAGTGGTACGATGCTCTATAATTACGTAGCTTTTTTTGACCATAGTTGGAAGATAGGTGCTAACTCAAAGACGAGATAACATCTCAAATATGTTACGAATACAAAATACTCCGTATTTTTTTCCCTTGTTTTCTATGTAACCTGACAGTTTCAACATAATTTCCTTGGCACCCACACGCACATATATATATATCATCACGACGGAGAACGACCAACAACACCCCCCCCCCACACCTTCACACCCCGCTTCACCTCCAACGTGTGAGTCATTCTCGCCCGAATTATCACCACACGGTTACATCCTCATCCCCTTTTAACCCTATTCGTGCACATTTTCTTCATAAAGTCATCTTTAACCCATATTATAATCTTGTTATATTATCAGGTGGTACTTTTCATTACTGCTACAAACAAAATAATAGACATAATAATATTCCACTATTCGTTCACTTCTGTTGGTCGAGTTACTTGCTAAATACTGTCGTGTTATCTTTCACATTTTGCTTTGTATCCCCTTCGTTTCTATTATTTCTCATTCCAGGTTTTGTGTCTCTCTTCTCATTTCATTCTTCTTGTTCTTGAATCCATATTGTTTACAATAGAAAGTCAAACAATACCAAGTCAATAACCTTGACTGTTAACCCTCACATTCTTTTTAGTTATTTCACGTACCCCATTCCCACTAACAGTGTAGGGACAAACCCACAAGTTTGTCATAGCAAATACACATTCCGAGTCGACAATAAAACATCTCCAAAAGACCACCCCCAAATCGTTATGGCAGTCGTATTTGATTTCACACAACTATTTGAGGACCCTATATTTCTAGGCTCGTTCGGTCTGGCTGTCGTAAGTTTGCTCACTTCATCTACTCGACACGAAATTTCAAATTATTCTGTTGAATAGAAATATAAACGGAAAGTATCTTGTACTTGACTGATATGATATCAATTATCGTTTCTTTATAGGTTGGCTGGATCGTCGCATTAGCAGGACAATGCGCAAGCGATTTAGGCTTGAGAGCAGTCGGCACATATGGTCCATTTTCATGGTTTATCATTTTCTTTAATATGTCGGTGATAGTAGGAACGTTAGCCATTGTCAGTTCAAACAAAGTCAGTCAACACCGTCCGGCCGTATCCTTTTCATTTTGAATCATTGAAGGGTTAATGTCCTTCAAGTCCAATTTTATTTCCGTCTTCTTTATAATTACATTATTTATTGTCTTTAATAATATCTATTTCTGCTGACAGTTGATGGCATTCTTTGCAACATGCCTCGTCCTCGATACTCAATCTGTCTCGATATTTATTCACGGAGATTCTTCTTATCAGGCTGCTGGGGCTGGTTATATTTTCCTCAGTATTGTCTTTATTGTGTGGATAATGGTTCTCGGGTCCGACAATCAACAACGTTCCAAAGCCGCAGCCTACTCTTCATCCGGAGTAATCATCGGTAACAATGTTACACCCACGATGATCCCTTTAAGCCAAGCGACGCCGAGCAATGTGAGCCAGAATCAAGTCGTTGTTTCCCCGAATGCCGAATATGCATATAAGGCCAGGGCTCTGTATGATTGTAAGTACCATGCGATGGCACGTTTTCCCGTCCGTAAAGTTTATTATTAACCTTATTCTCGTGATTACATTTATAGATACTGCTAGTCCTGAAGATCCAAACGAGCTGAACTTTAACAAAGACGACGTACTTGACATCGTTGACAACAAGGGAAAATGGTGGCAAGCAAGGAGGGCTGACGGTGTAATTGGAATAGTACCAAGCAATTATGTATGTAAAAGGAAAAACTAGACTGCCAGATTCGACTGCATATCGTGATCAACGTTCTAATCGAAAACCTATTTTATTCACAGCTTCAAATCATTTAATATTACATCTTCATATTCACCCTTCCCATCATCTAACATCGTTCTATGGCAATCCCGACTTAATAAGCAACTCCCCCGTTATAATACTCAACATTATCGACTCTTATATTTTATTAATATGATATTCGGTGGACTCCCGCCACTTGTGAATGTGGGTTGATTTATTGCGTGACAAACCTCTAATAATATATACTTTTTTTATTTTAAACAAAACTTGTAAGTCTTGTTTAGCAGCTCGAAACTTTATTTTTGCATGCTTGGATACGTTTAGGATATAACCTGTCTCATTAATTCACATTACTGTTGACTTTTAAGTTTCTATCGGCATTAAAGTTGATTTGTATAGTGCGGATCATGAAGATGTACAACAACACTTTAATCACGACAACCATATAATCGCAAGTGATTAATAGATAAAAGATTCGTTCTCGTGGAGCACGTTATCGCGTCTCATACCGATTGCACTCCTGTAAAGTCTGATCGGTGTTTTGAAAATATTACCATCTCACAACTTTGTTATCCAGTCTTGGGAATTGGGAATTGGAGTATGGGTCATGGATTATGTCATTATCGCTCTTTGTTCACAATAATCAGGGAATTATGTGGCGCAAATTCATAATTCAGATTTAACACAAATAATAACGAAGGAGAACTTATACCCTGCGGGTCTTTTACTGCTAGCATAATAATGTCTGATAAATTCAAGCTGGAATGCCAAATACCCGTGATTCCTCTTCCTTGTGCTAGTTCCACTTATTACAACACAGCAGCAACATGTCTACCATAGCTTTCGTCTCTTCTGTTTCAATTTAATAGCCAACTTTTTCCTCTCTCCATAACGTTCTTCTTTCTGTTTTTGCTCATTTATCATCTTTTGAATAGCCTCATGGGGCAAAGGTGCAACAAACCCAACAAAATACTGGCTGCATTCAAACTTATCTGCTAGTTTTTTTCGTGTCCAATAGTTGGGATCCTCTGCCCTAAGACGTCTGATTTCAGCAACCTCCACTTCCGTAAGATGATACTTCTTCTCTTTGATGGGTCTAATAGGTGGAGGAAGCGATTCTACTGCTGCTGTGACAGAAGTTGGTTGGCGTGATGTGAAAGTGCTACCATCGTCTAATTTCTGGGTAGAGAAGATGGGAGCTGATAGTTTTGTTTGTCGTTTTGGTTTACGAGCCGAGTAGGAGCGTATTATAATTGAACGCGGGATAAAATTTGACAGACGTTGTAGCGAGAACATTTAATGATGTTTTACCCTTTTATTCACGGATTTTATACTTTCAAAAAATTTTCTGGCACGTGATTATTGGCCAATCATCTGAGTCTGCTAGATTTATTTAATATGGCAGACTGCAACAAAACCAGACAAAGTGTACATTCTATCATGTGACATATGAGAGGCTGATTATGATGTGGCTGTAAAATTGATCGGGGTGACTGATGACGTTTTGCCTTGTTGATTTTAATGCTCCCTATCATACCAGAAGGTGAGGAATATAAACCATATATAAAAAAGTTTTTGTAAAGAAATTCAAACCATATTAATAAAACAAAGTTGAAGCCACAAAATTTAAATACAATCATTATCTCATAATTCATAATCTTACAATTACACAATTATCGGTTTGAATATTGAACAAATTCTAAGAAATAGATTTTATTTATTTACAAGAAGACGCCGAAGTTCAGCAATTTCTGATCTTAATTGCTGAACTTCTAAACGAGTTTCTTCTAATTCCTTTTAAACTGAACTTGAAGTTCAGAAGTTCTCCCCGAATCCAACTGCTGTTGTCGGGGTTGGTATCCTCTTATTTCATTAATAAGATTATTTTTGCCAACGAGGATGATATGATACCTCGACGATTCAGCTTCCTCAACGGCATCTTTAGTGAACCGATTAATTCCATTAGCCAGTAAGATACCAACAGTTGTTTCTGGAGGCCAACCGTCGAGTGAACCCTTTAGTCGTTGGACATATTTAGGACCTATATTAAAATTAAAATTAACAACTTTTCTATAATAATTTTACAATAATATTAATTATATTAATATTTACCAAGTTTATTTTTATGGTCTTTACATTGGATCGCATAGACCACATCATTATGGTTTATAATTATGTCAATTCCCCCGCCTCTCCTAGTCAATTCTCCAAATTCTTGGACTACTTTTCACTTCCCTAGAACCAATAATAATAAATAATGAGTAATGCATCATCATAGTCAAAACTATCGAACGCTTTCAATTCGCTGATCAATATATCCTATTTACCACGCCCGCGCTCACTCCGCAGCAGCTTTTTCAGTAACGGAGAAGAACGTTCACAACTATTCAGTTATTAATACAGAATGTTGCGAATATTTAATATCAAATGGTTAAAATATAATCAATATATATAATAAATAGTTGTATTTAAAATTAACTGTAAAAATAAAGACAAAGAATATACGAAAATAAAATGGTAAAAACGCGAATAAAAATAAAAGACAAAGAAAAATATATTCATTTTTTTCATAATAATAAATTTTGTCTTTAATATTATTTTTAACGTCATCCCAGTATTCTCTGCCATCCACTAAAACAACATCTTCTAAGAAACGTGTATATATAAGAAAATTTTTTTTTGTGGCTTGTCGATCATGTGAATTTGAATGATCGACACAAATTATGTGCAACTTCTTTTATCTACATTTCGATGACATCTTCGCTAAAGATACAAACTTGGTATTTGTTAGTTACATGGTACACTTACTAAATTAAACATGCCTCTAGACGTTGTTGAAACTTTCAGTTTACGATATGAGCGAAAAGTTGAAAAATTCTAAAAACGATATTAGACTTGGTATATATCTAAGCCACATTCGTGGGAAAGGGGTACACTTTCGAAAACACAATAGTTGATATTCTGAAGGGGGAAGGGTACGAAGTGGAATGGAGAAATGGGTGAGTTTTCGCTGGGTATTTTGTTAAATGGTTATTGTATTTGAAGTACGCTGCCACTTGGGTGTAAAATATCGGGAATGAAAGCACATCGTGGCCACAATCTTTAAACTATTATAGTAATGTAGTATCTAAAGGTGCGCTGCCACTTGGGTGTAAATTCGGGTTTCAATAAACACAGTTGGTGTATAAGCATATTGTTCCCGTTGCCGACGAAGCCGCCAGGGAGTTCCCGGGCGCGGTGAATAGGATACATCGAAACATTACATATAATAATTTATTGAGAGTGAACGTTCTTTCCCGTTGCCGACGGAGTTCCCGGGTGTGGTGAATATTGGATACATTGATCATTTAAATTGAAAGCGCATCGTGGCCGCAGCTTGTGAAAGTCGCCAGTCAGGTACCCAGTCCTGGCGTACGGTGGACGGCCTGCTGTGAACGTTCTTCAAATGGTTCTTGACTTTGATGATACATATACTCATTATTTTTTTTTTAATTCTCAGAATGAAGTCTGGAGATGGTGGGGTAGATATAATCGTCTATCATAGAGGTTGCACTATATTTATTCAATGTAAAACTATACAGGAAATATTGGTAAAGGTTTTATTTATAATAACGAAGATTCTGTATTAATAGATGTGAAATACATCCTCGATCCATTTTAGGAAAGGAAACGGTAATTCCGTGCAACGGTCAATATAGGTGTCCAGCAACCGAACCATCGCCGCCGCTCGTTCAGAAAATAACTGACTTTAATATTGAGCAATCACAATATGTTTGTTGTGAATGTTACGAAACTCATGGAGGACATATACATGAACACCATGGCAAAGGCAGAAATGAAGAAAATATATTTGTACAGCAACAGATAATAATAAGCATGACGATGATGTAAGTAAGTCACTGGAACTGCTTGGAAATTGGATTCTGCACGTGGCAAAAACAAATACTATTAATATTTTAATGAAGAAAATAATTTTATTTTTTGTGGCCCAGGCATTACAAGTTCTTAAAATGTCGGAATCTGATTTGTCGTCATCCAGTCATGCATCTTATAATCTGACTCCATTTGCAATCAAGACGATTTTAAAATCCAACGGTATGCATCAAATGGCCTCGCCAGACAATGTTTCTTACGGGAAAAAAATTGCGGAAAAAATATGGAATTTACGCAGCTCTTTGAAAGAACAGGAGAAGACTTTGGAGTTGCCCGAAACACTGTCTGCTTACAAAATTGCACACCCTCCGATTCTAATAGACTTTTTTGATGACATGATCTCGACTTTTTATATAAAACGCAAGGAAGTTAATAGCCGAAAAAAGGGAAAATCAGTGGGTCGTAATAGAGACATTATTATTAGTGAAAAAGAACAAAAAAAAATTGACATGATAACTACGTTTTTATCATCAGTTATTTTGACCACTGCATTTAAAAACATGGATTACACGTTCTCTGGCGTCTGCATGTCAAAACTCAAAACCTTACGGTCATGCCTTGAAGCGATTAATGCTGTATCACACACCAGTGTTCATGAATATCGGTTACGCAAACAGCGTATGCAAGCTGCTGCTCCAATTGAAAGGATCCATTCACCTGTAGATAATATTGACTTACGGGAAGCGACCTTCAAATATGGAAACATTTATAATATAGCGGGCAGATCATTTCACGCAACATTACGTATGGTCTTTCAGTTCAAGCTGCCACAGGAAATAAATTCAATTCCGGATAATGAAATTCACCTCACTGAAGAACACCGTTTATTCGGGGAAGACAATAAAGTCGAAGCCTGGTTCCACAAAATAAATGACAATTTTAGAGAGCTGATTGCGAATTCAGCTGATACAAACGGGAACGTTACTGTAATAGACAATTTTATTATTACTATTAATGACAAGCTTAGAGAAGGCGTTCAACTTGGCTGCAGAGTTGAAAAACCAAATGTAGTCATTCTTGCGCCAGGTCGTGAACCATCCTCTAACGACCATATTTTCCAAACTTGTCGGGCATATTACACGGACTTTAATATAGCTGATGGAAGTACTTTGGATGTTTGGGCTGATTAGGCAATTCATCAGCGACTCGTAAAGATAAAAAGGGACAATTACGGGCAGGATTAGGGACAATGGCACACATCAAAAGATATGTGCGCTGCTCTCATACATCTTTTTTCTAGTTATGGACTTTATAACCTTGCTCATGAACTTGGAGTAAGGTTTTACGACAAACTGGCAACTAATATTGATTATCGGGCAACATGTAAGGTTTTAGACCTAATTTGGGCATCGACAGGAATCGCAATCCATTATTATATTAGACAAAAAAACCTTTCGCTGGAACAATTAATGGAATGCGATAACAACATGGTCAAAACATGGCTCCTGTATTTCAAATGGGGCTAGCATTTGGAAAGGGCGTAAATTGGGAATACGAACAGGAAATTACGACATGCAATTTTCCAACCTGGCTGCGTTTGCTCCTCTATTTCCGAGTG